AAAATTTATGTATTTTTTTACCAATTTTTTTCATAAGGAAAGAAAAGAGATATCGAAAGATTTGTGCATTATGTTTTTTTCATTTTTATAAATATAGAAAATTGCAACTGTAGCCCGGGAACATCAGAGCATGCAGCGCATACATGGCCAATTGGCGGAAATCTCAACTGTCGACAGTTTACCTGAGACAAAGAAAATCAATAAAATTATTAAAATATATTAAATTTGTGGAGCCATGAACCTCATTTCATTTGAAAAATTTGAAAATTTACGGAATGGTGACCATTTGAAATTAAATGTTTTCATGAGCTTTTTTTCATTTTCAATCTGTTCAAAGAAATAATTATTTTTAAAAATTTATGACATTTCTAGGTTCATGGCCTTGTAAAAATTGTTTATTTTACATAGGAAAAAACTTCATGTCAATCGAATGATTGGTTGAAGCTGTACATTTCCCGTCAATTTGAAAAATGTGAATTCGAGAAAAAGTTTAAAGTTTTACTTTATGATAACAATATTTACTTTTTGTTAACAATATTTTGCAACTTAATTTAATTAACATAGGATTCCTGACCTATAAAGTCAATTTCTTCTTCTGTTTGAAGAACAAATTTTGCTACATGAGCCTTCTTCTTTCGATTCTTACTTGTGCATAATAATATTGAGCTCACTTGATTTTCGACCGATACAAAATCCAATTCAACAAGTTAAATTGCTTTAAAATATTACAAAATTTCTTTTACAGGCATATTCTACACTTAGAGATGCAAAAAAATGAAAAAAAAATCAATTTTTTAATTCTTTCAAATAGAACCTCCCCTTCATTTCTCCATCTTTTTATTCCATTCCTCCATCAAATATACATCTATTATTCTCCTTTTTTTCCCTAATTTTTTCTATTACGCTCCCCCATTATTCTTCCTTCCATTTCATCCTTTCCCATTGTAGCCTTTTCTTTATTTCCATTATTATCCTTCCTTTTGCCCTCCTTCTCTTGTTATTTCTCTTCGCAAATTGTGCCCTCCAATTCTAATCCCTCGGCAGCTTTTCTCTCAAAAGCCTTTTTCAATTCTTCTCCTCTACCCATGTCACTACTAAAAACATTACGTCTTACTTTTCAGTATCTTTCGAGAACTCTGTATTTTTATTTTCTATCCCCACTATTCCATCTTCTTCCAGAAGGTTATCTTCTAACCTTCTTCATCTCTTTCCACCTCCTCTTCCCCTCTTTTTATCTCCTTCTCTTGTCTATGTTAATTCTCCTTTCTCCCTTTTTTCTCCTCTCTCTCCCTTTAACTCTCCCCCCTGCACTTGATCTCCCTTTTCTTATTCTTTCTATCTTTTAACATTTCTTCCTCTTCATCCTAATATCACCATTTTTCCTCTATTTTTATTTTCTTGTATCCATACTCTTTTTTCCTTCTTTTTTTATTTTTGTGTTCCCCTTCCCCTTCTTAATCACCATTTCATTTTTCTCTCTTCTCATGTCATATCCTTGTCTATTCATAGCTTCCTTCTTCTCAGAGTTTTCTTCTTTTATAATTCCTTTACTTCCCTCCTTTGATCTTCATTTCCTAGTTTCACCATTGCCATTTTTCTTCCTTTGATTTCATTGCTATTTATCCTCCTTATCTCCTCTATCTTGACATCTGCCCCTATCTCATTCAATATTCCTTGCACTATCCTCCCTCATTTCCCTTTCACTTCCTCCCAATCCTTCGATTATTTCTCTCGATATTTCTCTTCTTATCTTCTTTCTCTCTTGTTTCCCATTTTCTTTCTATTATTATATCCTTATCTTTTTTCTTCTCTTGTCCATTTCTTCTTCCCATTCGACTCCTTTCTCTCCCCCCTCCCCCTCCTTCTCCTTTTGCTCCCCCCTTCTTCTTTCTCTCCCCCCTTTTCTCTAACTTTCTCATCTTTTCCTCTAATTCATCTTCCTCCTCTTTGACTCTTCTTTCTCTTTTTCCTTCATTCTCCAATGTTTCTATTCTCTTTTTCAACTTCTCTTTCTCTTTCTCTCTTTCTCTTTATTCCTAATCGCCTCTTCAAATTTCTCTAATTCCTTTTTTATTTCTATTCTTTTCCCATTCATTGTTTCTTTAAATCCCTGTATCATTTTCTCCCTCATTTCCTCTATTAAACTTTTCAATTCCTCTCTTTCTCCTTTCTTCTTCAAAGGAGATGATCTTATTATGTTTTATCACTATTTCTAAAAACTTCTAAGCTTTAATTCTCGCCTCTCTCATTTTCCATTTTCATTTTTTTCCCTTTTCTTCTTCCAAATTCTTTTCATCTTTCTGTATCTCCTGTTTTTTCTCTATCCATCCGCTCTTTTGTTATTGTTCTTTCCTCCCTCTACATCCATCCTCTCTTTTCCTTTTTCTATCTCCATTTCGTTCATATAGTTGTATTCTTCTATTTGTCCTGTGCTATATTTCTTTTATCAAGCTCTATTTTACCTCTTTTTAATTTATTCTGTCTAACTTTATATTCTATTTTATACGACTCTGTTCTATTTTATATATTGTATATTCCTAAATTTTACATATAATCTAATTATCCAATACCATATGTTAACTACAACACTCTATCTTAGTAACTTTCTACTAACAACGTTTCGTCAGTCTTCTTCATTTCTCTGTGCTCCGATGGTTCCTCCTTTTCACAGATGCCTCTATCTATTTTTCTCCTTGATTTACTTCTCCCTCTTTATTCCTTTCTCTTTCCCCATCGAGGGGCCCACTGCAGGCCTGTCTAACCTCAATTTCACTCTGTTCTCAATTCTCTCTCTAATTTCCTATCTATCTCCCTCCTTTTCTCTGCCCTTCTATCTCCACTCCTTTATACCTTGCGTCTCTACTTTTTCTCCTACTCACACTCAATCAGTCTTTCTATCATAATCACTCTTAATATTAGCTCTCGCAAAATCGCCACCTCACACTTCACTACTGGTAACTGAAGAGTTATCTTAATTAATTAAACGCGGAGAGCTCTCAGAAATAGATGTAATTGTGACAATTAATTTTTTCTGAAAATTTTATTTTTTTGCCTTTACTTTGATCCTTGTAAAAAGATTTCGATTTTGTATTTATTGTTTGACGGGGGATCTACAAATAGATTTTGTTCGATGAATTACAAATGGGTTGCCTACAGTATAATTTGCTTATATTACTTTGCCGACAGTCCATTTGCGCATAAAAATTATTACCTACAACTCGATTGCCTGTATGCATTTATGCGCAGAAATAAACATTTTAGAAATGGAGTTACATTTGTCTGCATATATTGTATATTACCTACAAGTATTATTGCCTAGTTCGATATTAGATAATACAGAGGCACGTCTCTAGTGTGTAGTACATATGTGTCCCGCTGCGTAGTTGAAGGCGAGTGCCACCGCGACGTGGTGGAGCGAGCATGATTCGGTCCCACGCGAGGGAGACCGAAAAGGCTCGAAGAAGACGAGCAATGCTTCTTATACTCTTTGTATAGGATAAAATATACTACTTTATGCCGAGTTCTTGTCATTGCTTCCAAGAAACAGTCACTATAATTTGGGGATTCAGCCAGGATTGTACCAGACAAATGAGTCATAAGATTCTGAAGAATTGTGAATTGTTTGTGATGACACCGGCAGTTCGACACCAGCGTTGTTGACGCAGAACGACGATATTTGGTTGAAGACGTTGATCTAGGTAGTGAAAGATGAAGGAAGACGAAGAACGAAGGATAAAAGACGAAGGACGAAAGACGAAAAAGAAATGAGGAAAGACGAAAAAGACAAGAAGAAAGATCCAAAACATTCGAGAAGAGTCGAACGCTATATTGAAGATGCGAAAGACGCGGAATGCGCAAAAAGCAAAAAGCGACGCATACGACAGAGACTCGATGTAGAGAATTAAGGTTACGATAAGAAAATAGTTAATGTCGAATATAATGGAGTGTTTAGGAGAAAACGATAAAATCAAGAAAAACATTGCAACGGCTCCCATGAAAGTGATTCAGGCATTTCATAACTAGTGTTTGGTGAAACGGACGATCGAAAGAACCGTAGCCGATTGAGAAACTTCAACGGATACACGGATCAAGACAAAGGAGACGATTATTGAGATTATGAGATAAGGTTGTATTTATCCAGGAAACTTTCTTGGAACGTGATCTGATAGCGATCTGTAACATTTTTTGGATTATGGAGGATTGAAAGAAGATATAGCTAAGCGAATCTGCAAGGACTTGACGGATTTTAGTATATTGTCAAAAAAACGATGATTCTAACGATAACGACGAATACATGAATGATAAAAATGATTATGCACTCGCGATCGGCGATGATGGAAACACTGGCAGGATGAATAAAGCAGAAGATGCTAGATTTCGTGCAAGGCGTAACGAGTTATCCGCGAGACAAGAGAGAAATAACGAGGCATGAACATTTCGACGAACGAGATGTGGAAGGCGCCATTAGAAATTTTGATGGCAATGACGCCTATTCGATCGATGGCTAACAGACTTTGAGGATACCGCAGCGCTTTTCGGATAGAATAAAGTATAGCAGCTGATATTCACTAAACGATCTTTGGAGACTTGCGAAACTCTACATTCAAAGCAAAGGCGTAATGAAGAATTGAAAAATTGAAGGTTATGTTAAAAGTTTTCCACTAAAATAGACAGTGCTCTATTGCATCAAATGTTGTCTGAGAAAATGATGAAGAAAGGTGAAAAACTGCAAGAATACTATTTAATATTTAATAATGAAAAAAATTAACTCCTTCTATCGTAATATTGGGACTACTCCATTCGAATTGCTTTTTGGTGCTTCGCACTAAAACTGCGAAGTAAAATTGATTTTTGTCTTAAAGAGTTATTGGAAGAAGAGTTATGCGACCAATTCCAGGACGAACGAAACGAATTGCATCAGGCTGCGAAAAATCAGATCTTGCAAGTATAAAGAGAGAATCATTTAACGTATCTGCATAGAAGGGAACCGACCAAGTACCATGACCTTGTGGCAATCAAGCATACCTCAACAGGATCCAGATTTAAAGCTGAAACCTAGATTCCTCAATCTTTACAAAATAACTAGTGTTAAGTCAAACAATACTTGAAACTAGTGTTAAATCAAACAATACGAGGAACGTGTCGGAATGCATAAGAGATCTATGATTACTTTAATGTGCGCCGAATATCTCAAATCATGGGTGACAAATAAGTCGCTGCCCGAGTCAGTCAGCAGTCAGAATGGCCGAATGTATTGTAGAATGTCTCTGGTGTGTGGTATCATATACGTCCCGCTGCGTAGTTGAAGGTGAGTGCCACGCCGCGGCGTGGTGGAGCGAGCGTGATTTGACCCCGCGCGAACGCGGTTGAGGGAGATCGACAAGGGTCGATGAAGGAGACGAGCAATCATTTTTTGTACTCTCTGTATAGGAGAAAATATGCTACTTTATGCTGCCAAATTGTTGTGGTGTCATTATCTCAAGAAACGGTCATTATGTCAATATGTCAGACATTGGGGCCCTCAATATGATCGAATATTGGAATACCAATGTATAGCCAATATTGGCCAGACATTACAGGGATAGAAAAAAACTTGAGCTTTTTTAAAAAATCTCAATCTACTAGTTTTTATGGAGGTTTTATTGAGTTTTATAGAAGTTTTTTGGAGTTTTTTTGATAAAATTAATTCTTTAATATTTTTTTCAAAAAAACAATATTTACATTGTGTTTATCATTAATTAATTACATATTCAGATAAAATTAACTATAAAGAATTTTGTAAAAATATTATAACAATAATTTTGTAGAAGTTTTCTATAAAGGTCTCAATCATGTAGCCGAAAAATATAGAACATTATTAAATTTTTATGTGATCAACGATTGAAATATAATATACTTTGCGCATCAAGATCCGTGGTTGGCTCTTATATACTTTTTATTTATTTAATTTATTATATTATAATAGCAATATAATAGTAATATAAATAAGTAATTATATTATAATGATAAATTTTTCAAATTTAAAAAAAAAATACTTCTGTAGTGATCAAACGTAACCTTATCATGTGTATCTACGAGTTGGAAAGGACTGGAGCTACATATGTAAACATAAGCAATAACATAGAAGCAGTAAACAAATTAACCAATCACAGTAGAGACCGTAAAGCCAATAATATCCAATGTAATAAACAATTTCCTTATTGCTTACATCTTACTGTCTATATTTTATATTTTAAAGGATGCGATCAAGTTGCCGCTACGAATGCTTCGAAGCATTTGATTAGACACTCGGAAGAAAGAATTTTACTAATTAAAAAATGTTTCATTGATCAATCAAAAAATGCTTCGAAGTATTTGTAGCGACAACTCGATCGCACTTTAAATCGATTCTACATTTGTTGCAAACTGATCGCAAATTTGTTGCCAAGCTAAAGCTTGCTTTTTGAAATCAACGCTTCTAATATATGGTAGAACCGGCTTTATATGTGCTATGAGCTTTATGGGAGCTCGCGACAATCGCGATTGAAATGTTTTAAGGTGTCCCATTTGCTTTATTCAAATCTACCCCTACCATTGAAAAATGATATAAATGAAAAAATATCTTATTATATTTATCAGAATATCGATAAATCAAATATTTTATTTTTATTACACAGATATAGATGTAGGAAAAAACACATAACACAACAAAATGTTAATTATTTAATGGTTTAATTTTAAAATGCTTTATATGTGTGAGACGAAACGTTTAGTACGAAGGCACAAAAACACAAAATACTTGTAGATTAGATTAACAATTGCAACCGCGGCAGCTACCACTTAACGGTTATTTGTCTATATTGCCATTTCAAAAATTACAATTTGTAATCGCAGAAAAAAACAGTTTATTTTTTATTTGTAAAGTTCAAAACTGCCCCTATACAAAATTACCCCCTCCCTCTCTTCTCTACGTATTTTTTTCAACGTCAGGCGTTCATGCGAAAATAATCTCATAATTTATAATTCTTATTTCACATATGCCAATATTTCTTGTTCATAATCTCCTCTGCCCATAATTAAATTCTGACATCATATGCATTCGCATTACTGTTATATTTGTTAGTCATACATACAAATATCATTTTTTATAATTTGACATTATCCATTCTCGCCATGGACTGAAAATTCATTACAATACGTGTGTTGTAATATAGATATCAACGTATTTTATGATTGCCTACTGACACCGTAGAATATAAGTATTATGTGACATTTGCGTTTGTATGTGAGATGAGATCCTTCAACAATTCGAGCTATTAAACTGTATGTTTTTTAAATTGCTGAGGAGAATTATTAAGTTAAGTTTGAAACGTATGTATGAGATACATACGTGCTATATGTAATATCTCATAAGAAGTGGAATAATAGAATAAATTAACCAGTTGTAATTTTGTATGCTCGTTTAAATTAGTTGATCTTGAATTTGTTTTTTTATTGCAATCTTACTATTAGAATAATTAATTTTTTTTGTTAATACAATTTATTATTATCAAAAAATTATCAATGTTATTTTAAAATAATATTGACATCTATTATGTGTATATTGGATTGGTCAGAAAGTTCGTTTTGTAACACCAAATTGTATTTACAATATCATTATCTTTGTAAAAGATAAATGAAATTTAATTAAATTTGAAAAAACGATTTTGAAGCTTGAAATCTCTACTTTCGAAAAGTTACTATGTTGTTTGAGTTTCTGTGAATTTGATAATTTTCACATACAGAAAACTACGAGCTGAAAAAGATGGAAAATTTTTTTTTTTTACTTTGGGTCTATCATTTGCCCAAAAAAAATTTATGAAAATTTTCGATTTTCCATCCAAATAAAAGCTTAAAATTTTCCCTACAAAATCATTTTTTAAAATGTTCCTAAGATTTTTTGTTACTAAGTTATCACGAATTAAATAAAAAGAGCATTTTGAGTTTGATTACTCACTTCGTTAAAAATCATACTGCACTTTAAAAAATCAATTTTTAAAACTAAATCTGCTCTATTGAATAGTATAATAACAATAAATATATTCTATGTATAATTTTGAGCTTAAAAAACGGTACGAACTTTCTACCAATCCAAAAATATAAACTATAATTATTATACTTATCTATTTATATTATTCATAGATATTAATAGTGAACATGAAAATGAAAATATCGTGTCCAGTAGAACATTACCATGGACAATACCAATGGCTTTGTCAATGTCATTGAAGAAAAATAACAAGAAACCTATAAGACGACACGAAGAACACTATGATGAAAAAGGCAAAGACACAAAGATTTCAAAGATCTTTCAGTTGGCAGTAACTGCATTATCTTTTTTGGCATTCGGTGGTTATCTCCTTACACTCATAATTACAGCAATTCGTCGCAATAATGGAAATGGAAACGGAAATGTCGTCATATTTTCAGTAATAATTAAATTAAATTTATATATTAGGTTACAACTTTGCTTCCGCCGTTTTTTTTCCGAAATTCGAGGCTTTATTGTAAAAAACTGGTTGGTGATTTTTTGGTGGTTGATGATTCAAAGTATTGTCCATTGCTGGCTACTATTTTCTCCCATCTTTCGGGTAGCGTACGAATCCCGCGTCGAAAAAACTAGTCATCTTTTGAGGCTATCCATGAATCGATCCAATTTTTTACTTCTTCATAAGACCGGAAGTGCTGGTCAGCCAGGCCGTGTGCCATTGATCGAAACAAGTGATAGTCAGAGCAACGTCTGGAGAATACGGCGGGTGGGGTAGGACTTCTCATTTCAACATTTCCAAGTATGTCTTGACCACTTTCGCAACATGGGATCGAGCATTGTCATGCTGCAAAATCACTTTATCGTGTCTCTCGTTGTATTGCGGCCGTTTGTCTTTCAATGCTCGGCTCAAACGCATCAATTGCGTTCGATACCGATTGCCTGTGATTGTTTCAGTCGATTTTAACAGTTCATAATACACTACGCCGAACTGGTCCCATCAAATACAGAGCATGACCTTGGATATCAAAATCACCGTTCTTGAAGCGTTGAAACCACTCACGACACGTTCTTTCACTAATAGCGGCCTCACATAAGTATTTGAGAGCATTCGATGAGCCTCAGTCGCAGATTTCTTCATATTGAAGCAAAAAATTAAAACCTCCCGCAAATGACGAGAATTTGGCTCGTAAATTGACATTTTCAATCGAGAATAACTTTATGATGCAGACACAAATCGACTAATGTTTCTATGGGGTTATGTTGACAGAGCCCAAGTTTATTGTATGACGTCTATTTATTTCGACCACTTACCGCTAAAGCCATCTATAGGAAAACGGCGGAAGCAAAGTTGTACACCTAATAATAATTATAATAAAATTCTTACTATTAGAAACTAAGCAATTAAAAAATCTATTCAGCAATTATTTAAATGATAGTCATTTTTATAGCTGCAAAGTTTATTTATTATAGATTTAACTTAAATTAATTTTACTTCTTCATTCAAATATAACTTTTCTATTTATATAATTACATATAACTATAAATAGAAAAACAATTATTATAAAATTATTATACTATTGTAACATCTTTTTATAATTTAATTCTAAATAAGCTATTATATTTTAAGAAGCTGCATGTTTTTTTTAAAGATTATTGGTATACGTATAAAGAACTGCAGAACTATAGTTGTTTGGAAAATCTTTTGATATTTATGACAAAAATACGAATTAATTTTTTATAAACATGTTTAATTATGCGAACAATTATTAATTTTAATTAAAAATTTTTTCCAGAATCTACAAAGTCTACAAAAATTAAACCGCCCCAAACGAAATATTTTAATATTCGATCCGATGGAAAATAACTTCGAAACAGACAAACTCTATGAAGGAATGATTATGCTTTCGAGAAGTTATGCTTTATACAATTGACTACAAATTGTGAACTCTGTGTTTTACAGATTTATTATTTATGCATGGCTATATTATTAATATATTAAATGATAAAATATATATATAATGTAATTAGATATAACATAATAATACATGCATATGATTGTAATGAATTAAGCAAATATTTCATTAAAAAGTGCAGCAAAATTTTAAATATAAATATTATTTATTAACTTAGTTGCTTTTATTGTAGCACTAAAGCTATATAGATATAATTGTAAAATCTGAATGAATGATAAAAACAATAAAATGAATTAATAGATCCTTGAAAAACTTTTTCTTATATTTTTCTTTTCTTATTATACATTTTTATAATGTACTTAAAAATTGTGCCGATCGATTAATTCTATTTAAGAAATACATAGCACACGCAAATTTGCAAACTCTTGAAAATCCTAAAACCTAATAAAATCGAATAGAAGACCGTGCTATGTACATATTTCGAAGAATATTCTTAGCGTGTGGGTAGAGAGGCAGCTTCAAACATGGCTCTTCAAATAAACATCTAAGTGGCTGTGTACTCCGCAGACCTATACATAAAGATAACCATATGGCTCTTGCAAAGATATCATCGACTACACACATGTCTCTATACCATTGTTCCATCGATACATAACTATGAATTCTCGTACATAAAAAGCTCTTCGAAATTTCTGATTACATGACGTTCATGTAATCAAAAATTTCATGTCTGAAAGTAGCGATTATAAGGTATAACATTTCGTTATTTTAATTTGCTCATTTTAAGTGCTTCCATTATATTAAACTATAATTATGATGATGATTAATAGAATTGCATCAAATTGAAATTATAAGTTTTTAATGCTTATTACGATCATTTTTTATAGCATTATTATTAGTAAAAATGCTCAAATACTTAAAAATAAAATATCTATTGTAAGTTAATTTTTGTTCTGAAAATTTTAAAGATTTTATATTACAAAATGTCGATTAAAACATATTCAAAATAATTCATATTTGAAAACAGCAAAATGCAAATATGCGATCAATTGAAGAAATCAAAAACTGTATGACACACACACATACACACACACACACACACACACACACACACACAGAGAGAGAGAGAGAGAGAGAGAAATTTTATTTATACAATATAAAATCAATAATTTAACGTATAGTAAAGACAATTTGTTATTATTACCATTGTCATAATTTTTATTTTTCATCTTTTCAAAACATCTCTCACGGAGAATATTACTTTAGCTTAACATTTATATCCACAGCATTCGACTCATCATTTTGACCAAACCAATCTTCTTATAGTCCCGCCTACCAGTATTTTCGTGGACCAATCCAGTTAATCCAGCGAAATCACAACTGGCGGTGGTAATTTTTTCAGCCAGAAATTTCTCGACATGGCAGAGTTTCATTCACTCATTCACTTTTATGCTCTTCTATAATTCTCTCAAATATTTTTTGCAAAAGTGATAATTCTTTATTAATAAATTATTTTAGAGTCTTTTCTTTCTCAAATTTATTTCTATTAAATCATTATTTAACATGTGTGCATTTAAAAATAGTGTTATATAAAGAGTGATTAAAGAAAGTGAATTAAAGTGTGGTGAAGTATAAGTTATATTAGTTGGACAAACATTACTAGAATTCATTTTATGTTATTTTTAATAATAAGTTTTTGTGTAAATTTATATTTTATATAAAAAACACGGACATAAAATACAAATGCAGATTTTTTCAAAATGTTCTAAATTAATGCAGATACCGTGCAAATTTTTGACAAATTTGGAAGAGACGATGAATGACGTTAATGCTTTCAACATGGATAATTCTAATTATTCAAGACAATTAAAATTTGGTATGGATCGCATATTATCGAATGAAATTTCCACAAGAAAAATAGGTGAAGGTTACTACTTACTTAAAATTATAATTTACAACTGTTATATGAAATTGTTCACTTCTAATATAATTATTATAACTGACTTAGATAATTTATTTTTTTGAATAATTTATGCATCAATTACGCCTTTTTTTAATCAAACCTATAAGTATAATAATTTTTTCTTAAACATATTTTTAAATAAAGCTAGTTTTTAG